CCTCAGAGGTTCCCCCTCTAGCAAGCAACTTTCAATCATATCTTTAGCTCTAAAGTGCGTTACTTTACATTTTCAATATTAACCTCATCTCCCATATGGCTGCATACCCCTCTATTTTAACAAGGTTACATAGTTAGTCTGGCTGAAAAAAGACAAAAGTCCATCCAGTTCAACAAAATTACACTAATAAATAGAAAAAAAATCCTATACCCACAGATGATCCAGAAGATACAAAGTCTGCTTGTAAAGTTGCTATATCCTGTTGCAAAGGTATTGCCCTGCTTGGCTTTGAATCATCAGCAAACACTGAGCCTGAACTATTTATTCCCACCTCTATATCATTTATGAACCGGTTAAAGAGATTTGGTCCCAGGACCAGAACCCTGGGGTACCCCACTCAACTCTAGACCAGAGGTCTCCAAACATTCTAAACAAAGGGCCAGTTTATTGTCCTTAAGACTTTAGGAGTGCTGGAATGCCCAGTGGGAATAGAAAATGTCCCAATGTCATTAGGAGTAAAAAATAAATGACAGTGCATTGGTATTACTAGGAGGACCAGTGCTCCATCATTGGTATTGCTAGAAGGACCAGTGCCCCATCATTGGTACTACTAGGAGGAATAGTGCCCCATCATCATTAATGTGAGGAATAGTTCCCCATCATCGGTATTAGTGGGAAGAATAGTGCCCCATCATCGGTATCAGTGCGATGAATAGTGCCCTGTCATCGGTATCAGTGAGATGAATAGTGCCCCATCATCGGTATCAGTGAGATGAATAGTGCCCCATCATTGGTACGACTAGGAGGAATAGTGCCCCATCATCAGCATTAATGTGAGGAATAGTTCCCCATCATCAGTATTAGTGGGAGGAATAATGCCCCATCATCGGTATCAGTGCGATGAATAGTGCCCCATCAGCAGTATCAGTGTGATGAATAGTGCCCCATCATCGGTATCAGCGAGATGAATAGTGCCCCATCATCGGTATCAGTGAGATGAACAGTGCCCCATCATCGGTATCAGTGAGATGAATAGTGCCCCATCATTGGTACGACTAGGAGGAATAGTGCCCCATCATCATCATTAATGTGAGGAATAGTTCCCCATCATCAGTATTAGTGGGAGGAATAATGCCCCATCATCAGTATCAGTGTGATGAATAGTGCCCCATCAGCAGTATCAGTGTGATGAATAGTGCCCCATCATCGGTATCAGTGAGATGAATAGTGCCCCATCATCGGTATCAGTGAGATGACAACAGTGCCCCATCATCGGTATCAGTGAGATGAATAGTGCCCCATCATTGGTACGACTAGGAGGAATAGTGCCCCATCATCATCATTAATGTGAGGAATAGTTCCCCATCATCAGTATTAGTGGGAGGAATAATGCCCCATCATCAGTATCAGTGTGATGAATAGTGCCCCATCATCGGTATCAGTGAGATGAATAGTGCCCCATCATCAGTGACCGTGAGATGAATAGTGCCCCATCATCGGTGACCGTGAGATGAATAGTGCCCCATCATCGGTGACCGTGAGATGAATAGTGCCCCATCATCGGTGACCGTGAGATGAATAGTGCCCATCATCGTGTGAGAGGAATAGTGCCCCATCATTGCTGTTTGTGGGAGGAATAGTGCCCCATCATTGGTGTTAGTGGGAGTCATATTGTCCCATCACTGGTGTTTGTGGGAGGCATAGTGCCCCATCATTGTTGTTAGTGGGAGGCATAGTGCCTGATCATTGGTGTCAGTGGGAATGAATAGTGCCCCATATTGGTATCAGAGGAAGGAATAGTGCCCCATCCTTGGTATTAGTTGGAGGAATAGTGCCCCATCCTTGGTATTGGTAGGAGGAATAGTACCGAATTGTTTATATCAGTGGGAGGAATTGTGCCCCATCATTGGTGTCAGTGGAAGGAAAAATGCCCCAAAATTGGTGCCAGTGGAAGAAATGGTGCCTCCTTGTTGGTGTCAGTGGGAGGAATAGCAAAGGGCCACATTCGGCCCACGGGCCGCAGTTTGGAGACCACTGCTCTAGACCATTCAGAAAATATGCCATTAATCACCACACTCTGGATGCACTCCTGTAACCAGTTTTATATCTGGGTACATACAATCTCATTAATGCCAAAATACCTTATTTGGAAATTAAGCATTTATGGTGCACTGTTATCAAATGCATATAAAGTGCTATCCAGGATATATTATGTCCACAGGCCTTCCTCTATCCAAATTGCAGCTTCCCTCCTCATAGAATGTTAAAAGGTTGGTCTGACAGTCCTTCATAAATCCATGCTGGTTACCGCTAATAATATGATTTTCATCAGCAAATTTCTGGATATGATTCCTTATCATTCCTTCCAAAATGTTTCATACTTGTGATGTTATACTGACTGCTCTGTAATTCCCAGGAATATATCTCTGCCCTTTTTTGAGCTTTGGTACAGACAATAAGCTTTCTTTAAAAATTATAAACAAAGGTCTGGCTATAACATGGCTAAGTTCTTTAACAACTCTCAGTTGTAAGCCATCCGATCAAGGTGATTTACTCACATTTTCTAGTCTCTTTTTTTAAAAACACTGGTCTCCTTAAGGGTACATTCAATATACCGTCTATACGAAATTACGGTTTGCCTATGGTATAATTTTTGGATACACCTCCTTTGGGAAGTGTTCACCTATGTGTCTGTGCTACAGGGATATTAGACTCTTGTATTGCATTCAGACCGGTTTTGGTGTCATTTTATATGGTTTTAGGTCTGTGTGTATTGTCTCATATTCTGTGGTGATGGTAAACCAGGGCTTGCCCATATGTCATATTTATAATATGTGTAATAAAGCATAATTTTTGGAAATTTTTCTGAGTGTCACGTTCTGTTCACTATGTAGATGCCCGCTTTTCTGTGAATCTCCTTTTCTTAATACATTCAATATACCGTCTTGTTTATTATACCCCTCCTTTTTATTCACTTAAACTGAGTAGAAGAATGTATTTAATAGTTGCCTTCTTCCTGTCACTTGCGACCAGCTTCCACTGATCACCTTTTATGGAGCCATTATGTTCTGACCTTGCCTTTTTGCTAATAATATATTTGTAAAAAATTGGGGAATTTTTTTTTTACTCTCCTCGACAATGAGAATATGTAAAGTACAGTATCTCAAAGAAGTGAGGACACCCCTCACATTTTTGTACATATTTTACTATATCTTTTCATGTGACGACACTGAAGAAATGACACTTTGCTACAATGTAAAGTAGTGAGTGTACAACTTTTATAACAGTATGAAACTTTTGTCCATTATTTTCACCTAGTCTGTCAGAAATACACTTCCTATCCTAGAGTGACTGCATTTGTTAAGACTAAAGAGCATCTACCTCTCTCATCTCAACATCAGGGGGTGTTCTATAGTGCACAGAGAAAACTGAGGCAGAATTGATAACAATGTTGAAATTTCAACACCGTTTAGCTTTATGGATTTTTGCTTTGGGTTACATATACAGTATCTCACAGGAGTACACCCCTCACATTTTTGTAAATATTTTATTATATCTTTGCATGTGACAACACTGAAGAAATGATACTTTGCTACAATGTAAAGTAGTGAGTGTACAGCTTGTATAACAGTGTAAATTTGCTGTCCCCTCAAAATAACTCAACACACGTCCATTAATGTCTAAACCGCTGGCAACAAAAGTGAGTACACCCGTAAGTGAAAATGTCCAAATTGGGCTCAATTAGCCATTTTCCCTCCATGGTGTCATGTGACTGGTTAGTGTTACAAGGAGTCTGGTGATAGGGAGCAATATTTTGTGTGTCCACCATTATTTTCCAGCACTGCCTTAAGCCTCTTGGGCATGAAGTTCACCAGAGCTTCACAGGTTGCCACTGGAGTCCTTCTTCCACTCCTCCATGACGACATCATGGAGCTGCTGGATGTTAGAGACCTTGCGCTCCTCCACCTTCCGTTTTGAGGATGCCCCACAGATGCTCAAAACAGTTTAGGTCTGGAGACATGCTTGGCCAGTCCATCATCTTTATCCTCAGCTTCTTTAGCAAGGCAGTGGTCATCTTGGAGATGTATTTGGGGTCATTATGTTGGAATACTGCCCTGCGGCCAAGTCTCCGAAGGGAGGGGATCATGCTCTGCTTCAGTATGTCACAGTACATGTTGGCATTCATGGTTCCCTCAATGAACTGTAACTCTCCAGTGCCGGCAGCACTCATGCAGCCCCAGACCATGACACTCCCACCACCATGCTTGACTGTAGGCAAGACACACTTGTCTTTGTACTCCTCACCTGGTTGCCGCCCACACACGCTTGACACCATCTGAACCAAATACGTTTATCTTGGTCTCATCAGACCACAGAACATGGTTCCAGTAATCCATGTCCTTAGTCTGCTTGTCTTCAACAAACGGTTTATGGGCTTTCTTGAGCATTATCTTTAGAAGAGGCTTCCTTCTGGGACGACAGCTATACAGACCAATTTGATGCAGTGTGCGGCGTATGGTCTGAGCACTGACAGGCTGACCCCCCCCCCCCCCACCCTATTCAACTTCTGCAGAATGCTGGCAGCACTCATACCTCTATTTCCCAAAGACAACCTCTGGATATGATGCTGAACATTTGCACTCAACTTCTTTGGTCAACCATGGCGAGGCCTGCTCTGAGTGAAACCTGTCCTGTTAAACCACTGAATGGTTTTGGCGACTGTGCTGCAGCTCAGTTTCAGGGTCTTAGAAATCTTCTTATAGCCTAGGCCGTCTTTATGTAGAGCAACAATTCTTTTTTTGAGATGCTAAGAGGGTTCTTTGGCATGAGGTGCCATGTTGAACTTCCAGTGACCAGTAAGAGAGTGATAACACCAAATTTAACACACCTGAGACCTTGTAACACTAACAAGTCACATGACACCAGGGAGGAAAAATGGCTAATTGTGCCCAATTTGGACATTTTCACTTAGGGGTGTACTCACTTTTGTTGCCAGCGGTTTAGACATTAATGGCTGTGTGTTGAGTTATTTTGAGGGGACAGCAAATTTACACTGTTATACAAGCTGTACACTCACTACTTTACATTGTAGCAAAGTGTCATTTCTTCAGTGTTGTCACATGAAAAGATATAATAAGATATTTACAAAAATGTCAGGGGTGTACTCACTTCTGTGAGATACTGTATATGTAAGCCAAAGCAAAAATCCATAAAGCTAAACTGTGCTGAAATTTCAACATTGTTATCAATTCTGCCTCAGTTTTCTCTGTACACTATAGAACACCCCCTGATTTTAAGAGAAAGAGAGAGGTAAATGCTCTTTAGTCCTAACAAATGCAGTCACCCTAGGATAGGAAGTGTATTCCTGACAGAAAGACTAGATGAAAATAATGGACAAAAGTTAGAAAAAAAAAAAACAGCTACCACATCCAAGAACTTTTTAAACCGCAAAACATAAAATGCGCATTAGTTACATAGTTAGTCTGGCTGAAAGAAGACAAAAGTGCATTCTTAGATTCAGATATAGCTAATGGACAAAAACTTAGATATAGTTTATTCTACGTTAAACCTTATAACGCTAAAGACTGAAAGTCTAAAACAATATTTGTGGAGGGGTGATAAGTTCAAAATGAGAAACTCATTATTTCAGATTTCTTTTTCTGAGAATTAATTCAAGAAAATAGTTTTAAATTTGGCTAACAACCTGCTACTTTATGACTGATGGCACATTTCCTTAGAAAATAATTACATTTTCAAAGGATGTCATTTTATTTTAATCTATTTTTAAATGCTACTGCTAGACTACACTTCAGAACATTGCAATATGAAACATAGCTGTCTCTTATGCAGCAGTTAACCTAAAATCCTTCCAGTCAATGTATTTGTATCCATATTGCAATTGTTTTGGCAGCTATTCAGTGCTGTATCAAGTAAATCATCATGGACGGATCAATGAATACTGCAGAATACAGTTTACGTCATTGCCTGTAGGATTTTGGTCTCCACGGCTACTCTTCTTCTCTGTATTATTTCAGCAGTATAAAAATAGGAACAAATACATCATTTAATGCACATTAAAAAGAACCTGTTAGTAGTAAAAAAAAAAAAAAAAAAAATAGAACACAAAAAACATCTTTAAGTTTCTGACAGATCTTCAAATCAATACAACCATGTGTGATATGTGGATCTTCCCCCGTTATTGTAATCTGACAGGGGGGACCCCAATCCCCCCTGCCAGAATACACTGATCAGCCAATGGCTCCAAGTGCTGATCGAATACTGGTTTTCCAGCAAACTGTTCATCAGACGCCGGTCCTGCTGAACCGGTCAACCTTTGGTGCGTGTGTACCAGGCTTTAGCCTAGGGCTCTCTCATACTAATTTAGAACTGCTTGCCATGAACCTGTTTTATGTTCAGTCTTGCTGTGCCCCTGAGTGGGAAGAGTTGCTGGCATTGGCAAGGTTTCAGCTATAGTGCTTTGATTGTTGCTGATCTCCTACTATATATACTGTGTCCACATACACAGACCTTGCTTTGCCACTTTGTTATATACTCTCTGTATGCTAGTTCTTGGGTAGTATAAATAAGGGTTAACCTTATTTATATCACTGTGCAAGCTGTGGGTCAGGGGAATGGTTGCTTCTGCCAGAGTTTAATTAGAGAGAGGTTTTGCTTCGTGACATATTACCTTTAATAAAATCAATTACACATGTCTTAATACTATATTGGCTTTCGTCAGAAACTGGAATTGTGGCTTAATATACATTTCCTTAATGGTAGTTCAAATGCCAGCATCTGTAACACTTTGAACAAAAAATTTGTCAGCTATAAATTGCATAGGAAGGCTGCAAAATACTTTAGCTAAACATGTCATGTGATAATATTAAATCAATAAATTGCAATGTTGTTTTAGGGTCATGTAAATTAAAAGCAAAATAATTACCTAAAGCAAAGGGCACAATATAAACCAATTTAGTATGGAATGGAAACTTCTACCATTAAAACGCACCATAATTGGAGTATTTAAGCCTTCCAATGAAGTTTAATTAGTGCATAATTAAGACAAAGATGTGACTGAATGATGTGAAATTATTTTACTAATTCAAGTAGATGGCCATGAAAACATATGTTGCATCCTAAAGCCAAACAGGGCATGAGTGTAATTGAACAGTATTAAAAGCTCTTTTGCATTGATTTAGACATATCACATGATGTGTGTACAGGAAATGAACCAATTGTTTTGTATCACAAAAGGTAAGAAAAAGCACCTGCCACTTAGCAAGCTATATACTCAACGTACCTTATACTGAGAAAATTATGGTTACACAACAAAAGAAATAGTCAACTTTTTTTTTTTTTATCTAGTGGATACTCATTTTATATCCATACAAAGAATAAATATCACATTGCTTGAATAAAAGTATTAACTTAGTAAATAAATGTGCAATAAAGTAGTCTAGAGATAATTCATCTGCCCCAGCTGGTTCTGATAATACTGAGCAACTCTCTTAGGTCTATACAGCCTTCCCAACCCATAACCTTGGCAAAGCATTCATTAGGATGAAGTAATAAACCAGACTGGATTATTCCCAGTTGACCACTATTGTTCCAGCCTTGCAACCCGAGTGTCTCCTCAACAGACCAAATAGTCTTTCATGTCTTGCAAAAAGGTTCATGTTTGTAGAAAGGTCTTTTTTTTTTTCAAAAGGCCATTTGGCAGCCAGCCCCAATCTGAAGTCTGTAGGAAGCTTAAAGTGAACCTTGCAAAAGATTTTGTTGTTTTAGTGCTTATAAATTAATATGCAATACCTGCATGTATTTAGTGTCTCTCAAAGACACCACAGTACTTCCCTTGACAATGTCCTCATCCTCCTTTCACCCAAGAAGGCAGGGACCATCTTTGTTCAAGAATTTTCCAGTCTTCACTTTATTTCTGAGCTAAGATTGAGACCCATAGATCAAACAATTGTGTAAATCCTGGTGCCTGTGCAGTAGCCTTTATATATACGTACGTGCGCAGATGTTTTCAAAACACATTTTGGCCCCGCCTGCTTCTACTTTCTTCATGGTCACAGACAGATTCCATCCATTGCTGCCTCTGATACTGTGACATCACAGAACACTATTTGTCAAACACAAATGAAATTTTTGGGGAAAAAAATGCACTTTAATACATTTTAGTGAACACAAAAACACAATATATAACACCAATTTCTTTGGGTAAAATATAAAAGATGATGTTACACCAAGTAAATAGATACATGTAACGCTTCAAAATTGTGAAAATTAGTGGAATGGCCACAAACTAAGGTGTGACGAATGCGGCGTCAGACCCCCAGCCCTTCTCACCAACTTGTGACCGAAGGACTAGCCAATCTAAAACCATGCTGTCACGTGCATAACAATACCACGCTCAGCTGCACCCTGCACAAAGATTTTCCAGCTAATGGATCACAATCTATGTACCTGCAGCCCGAGAGCAATTGTTATTGGGTCAGGTTAATTATGCAATTAACCTTTCACACTGCCATCACCGCAATAAAACTATGATGTTTGAATAATTGTCTGTATACCACTGTCACCGCAGGTAGAGGTATATAGGAGGTTTAAAATACACAGTAGCGCTCTTCAGAGACAGGGATTCTTAGTTTCCATTAAAGAGCTTTAGAAACAGTTCAACACTTTTCAGAAAATAGGATTTATCACTAAAAAGGTCAGAATGGTGCAATAAAAATATTTACAGAAAACGATGTAGCATATTATATATATACATACAGAGAGCAATAACACAGCAAAATGTTAAAAGGGAGAATTCTTCAAACTTACTGCCCCAAGCATAACAGCCTTTTTCTAAGAACTCAGCAGGGTGTCTCCTTACAGCAGAGAACCAATCGCCTCATTTGGGGAGGGGTGTTGTAGGCGGGGAAATCAGGCTATGACCAAATCCCTCCCAAAGTTATACTATGGTCAATAACCTTCCCTAGGTACATGTAGCAGCCTAGCCACTAGTAGATTATTATGCAGAATGATATTCTGAACGTCCAGACATCAAATATGGCATAGTTCACTATTCCAGCTAGAACTATATGGCTTACTGCTCACCTGTATACGTAATCCAGGGGTGTAAGATATCAGACGACTTGCATTAAGCTGAGCTATCCGAATATGTGCTTTATTTTTATGTAATTATTTCCTACCTTAAGATATGAAATTATTGGGAAAAGTGGGTTTTAAATGTGAGGCCTGTTTTACGGCTACTTAGGAATGCGTTTGAAGCCCAGTGAAGGACTGGTTTATGGCTTTACGATTATCTCAGATTGAGAAGCTAACAGACACCTGGGCACCAGGTAATTTGGGATTTATAACCATGAAGCTGTCCTGCTGTGCCCGATTGCCTGTGCACTTCTGAACCCAGCACACAGGGACCATGTGTCACTCAACAGAGAGGGAGGGGGGAAGCTGATTTGGAGTAGAAATGATACAAGATGGAGGGCCTTCGGCAAAATGGAGGTTCGCATCCATCTCTGTACATACAATTGCTACATAAGGTACTTTAAATTATCCATAGGCGACACTTTAAAAGCCTTACAGCACAGGTAGCAGTCACAAGGCCCAGGGGCCGAATCCGACCTGCCAGGGCTTATGTGGCCCATGCAGCTGCCGTTGGCTGCCACCTCCTGCTCACACCACCTGCTTTCCTCGGTCACAGTCTCCTAGGAAACAGCCATAAAGGCTTACCACACTCTCTCCCCAGTGGCATCAGCTCAGTGTAGCTGAGTGTGTGCACAGTCAGTTTGGCATAGCCTGTCAGCAGTGGACATACCCAACAGCCCTGGCAACTGTGTTCCTGAGGGCGGGCTTTGTGGACTTGCTGCACCAAATAGTGGCCATGAAGATACGAAGTGTTTTAAAAGCCATCTTACGTGATACACCTCACATGTGAGTGCTTTTGCTTTCGATGATTTTTATGGTGAAATAAAGCATATTACACTAGGGCAGAACTAAATTCACTGGTCCTGGAGTTGCTCTGCCCACATAGAGTGGTACTAACTAGAGCCTAATACA